AATTAATTGTTTAGAGGAAACTAAAGAAATGGCTTCAACAAGAAAGATCACATGTTTAATCCTAACAGGTATTACAAATTAAAATATAAAAGCAGCCCACACAATTACATCACTATGAAAATATTCATATATAATATTAAAAAATACAATGCATGCAGTATTTGTTGTGTTTATCTGTATTTAATGAACAACATGGCTGGGTGCTGGTTTGTGGTCGTAGCACTCTCTATCTAACCACTCGTTCAGGTGCTTTCTCGAGTGATTGCAACCAACTACCGCACACGTAGTTCCCGAACCACTTTTCTTCATGTTGTAATTGTTATATCCTCTTTGTCTCTGCGATATCAGTGCTTTGTCGGCACAACGGAGCTAGCTAGCAAAACAAACCCAGTCCGCCAAAACGGAAGTGCATTGCATCGAAGGGAGGAGTTCAGGATGTAGAGCGGAAACGGCTCAATAACTTGTGTATANTGGAGTTCAAAGCAATCAGGATAGGATCAACCTGATCCAGATTACGATTTTTCAAAATGACTTCATTATTGCACTGTTATTGCATTATTGCATTTCATATGTTCCTTAGAGTGCTACAATTTCTTTTAACACAGTTCATCATTCATATTAAGCTCATACTGTACATAAATAACACTGAATTAATTAATTGTTTAGAGGAAACTAAAGAAATGGCTTCAACAAGAAAGATCACATGTTTAATCCTAACAGGTATTACAATTAAAATATAAAAGCAGCCCACACAATTACATCACTATGAAAATATTCATATATAATATTAAAAAATACAATGCATGCAGTATTTGTTGTGTTTATCTGTATGTAATGAACAACATGGCTGGGTGCTGGGTGCTGGTTTGTGGTCGTAGCACTCTCTATCTAACCACTCGTTCAGGTGCTTTCTCGAGTGATTGCAACCAACTACCGCACACGTAGTTCCCGAACCACTTTTCTTCATGTTGTAATTGTTATATCCTCTTTGTCTCTGCGATATCAGTGCTTTGTCGGCACAACGGAGCTAGCTAGCAAAACAAACCCAGTCCGCCAAAACGGAAGTGCATTGCATCGAAGGGAGGAGTTCAGGATGTAGAGCGGAAACGGCTCAATAACTTGTG